CACCGCCCCGCGAGCGGAGGGGGCTGGCGCGGGCGCGGGAGGCTGGGGGCCGTGTCCCTGGCGCCGGCTGTGTCCCGTGTCCCTCTCCCCGGCATCGTGTGTGCCCCGTGTCCCTGTCACTGACACCCGTGCGTGCCCTGCGTGCCTGTCACTGACACCCGTGTGCGCCCCGTGCACGTGAAACTGACACCCGTGTGCGCCCCGCACGTCTGTCACTGACACCATGTTTGCCTCGTGTGCCTGTCCCTGGCACCGACTGTGTCCCGTGCGCCTGTCACTGACACCCGGTGAGGTCCGTCTCCCTGTCTCTGGTACCCGTGTGTGTCCCATGCGCCTGTCCCTGGCACCCGTGTGTCTCCCGTATCCCTGTCCCTAGCACCGTGTGCACCCCGTGTGCTTGTCACTGGCACCTGGTGAGGTCCGTGTCCTTGTCCCTGGCACCTGTGTGTGGTCCATGGCCACACTGCTGACACACATGAAAGGTCTGTGCACATGCCCCTGACACCCATGCAAAGTCCATGTCCATGTCCCAGGCCATGTGCCTGTCTGTGACAGTCTGGCAAGGTCCATGTCCCTAACACCCACGCATGGACTGTGTCCTTGTCCCTGACACCCACAGGTGATCAGTGTCCCTGACACTCATGCAAGGTCCACATCCACATCCCTGTCCATTTGCTGGTCTGCGACAGTCTTGCAATATCCATGTCACTGGCACCCATGCATGGACTCTGTCCCTGTCTCTGACACCCATGCAAGGTCCATGTCCCTGACACCCATGCATGGCCCATGTCCCTGTCCCTGGCACCTATGTGAGGTCTCTGGCCCTGGCACAAGACGTGGATGCCTCTCCCTTACACCAGAACGAGCAGGGTCGTGTTGTCAATGCTTGTGTGGGTTCTTCATTTCCCTCTCAGGGGGACTCCCTGCGACTGTCTGTGACACCCCGTGGAGTTTCCATGGGAGAGGTGGGAGATTCCAGCTCCGCACATACAGCCGGGGACGATGCCTCTGTGGAGTGGCAGGTAGAGGTGCCATTTTTTGACTGACGGAAGGGAGTTCTTAAAACAGCTAGTCCTAGAGCCTCCGAAAACAGACAGATTCCTGGGTCTGGTCTTGTGAGAGCGCAGAGCTCTCAGAGGTGTTTTTGGAAGAGCCACTCTGTCATAGCTATGACAGTTTGGCTTGAAATCGTACAACATACATATGAAACACAGAAGTCAAGGTAAATGGTTTGCCTGTGTTCTGAAAGAGAACAAGATACTCCAGCAATCCTGGTGTGGTTTAATGGGAGATGTAGCGAAGCATCATAGGAAAGGCTGGTGTTCAATACTGAAATGCTTGCACAGTGCTGAGATCAGGAACACCCCAACACACAAGGTCCCGTCGGGTGCTAACAAGAAATGAGGAGGCCTGTAAATGAGTTTACAGAGCATCCTAGAAAGAGTGCTCAAGCCAAAAATGAAAAATTCTTCAAATAGCTCAAAAGCAGGAAGGCAGGCAGGGACTGCGTGAGACTCCTGAATAAGGAAGGTATAAAGCAGCACATCAGGAAAAGGCCAAGGGGAGAAGCTCACTGGATCCTCTGCCAGGGGCAGGAGTGCTCTGGTACAGGGAGTACAAACCGTATTTGTTTTGTACAAGCTGGAATCTGGGATCTGCTGGCATGACCTGGGGTAGCAGGACCAAGTGGAGTCACTGTGAACCCCAGTAGCCTTCAGAAATGGTGATTGGTGCAGAAATGAGGATGGAGGAGGGTGTCCTAACCTTCTCCTCTCTGAACTGCTCAGCCTGTGTTCTTGAAAAGAAGTTGTCTTTTGTCTGTACTCTGGGTCCTCAGAAAAACTGCAGTAGCCTTTGCTACCGCATGAGGCCTGTCCAAAAAGTTACTGACATCTACTGCCATGAGATGCTTCACCCTGTGCAGATATGTAAAGGGGAATAATGCAACTTTTGGAGTTGTTCGGGACAGATTTCTTTCAAGACATGGTTACTGCTGGTTGTCTGGTGTATCTCACTGCTGGCTATTAACACCATTTCCATTCTTTCCACAGACCTGACAAAGGAATTCTGAAGAGAGCAAGGGGCTTGCGCTGGCTTCAACTACAGATTCCTTCCTGGCAACTGAGGATGCCCAGCACCGTGGCAGTGAACATATTCTAGAGACCAGACAGGAGATGCTGTGGTTCAAAAGCTCCTGACAGGACTGTAGTGGCCATGTGCAGCAGTCCTCTAGATTGACAAGAAGCACCTTGTTCCCAGGCAGAGAGGGGTGTCAGCTCCTGAAAAGCAAATCCTTGGATGAGATTCTACATGTAGCACTCAAGGGAGTGAGTCATGGTGCAAGAGTAGAGCCAAATTCCTACTTTCTCATGCGCGTATTATCTCTGCAATGGAGGTGGGACTCACACTGCCATCAGTTAGGGGGTATATTTCAAGATGAAAGGGCACAGGCTGCGTATAATAACGGACCACTTGTGCTTAAGTTTTCTCAGGGTATTTACTAATTTTCTCTCTGTTTCTACCTATAAATGCTCTGGAACAAGGCCAGATTTCATCCAGTCTCTGTGGTTTATATCTCATTATCTTAGTTTTAAGCGCATGAAGTCATGGAGGAGCAGAATAAGGAACCTCAGATATGTTAATGCATGTATTGCCACCAGTTTTCTGGGCAAGAGCAGAATTCATCCTTTTGTCCTGCTGCTCTTTACGGTTCTGTGCAGCTCAAGAGAAGCCCCAAATCCTGAATTTGAGGGTCTGTGTGTGTGCTCTCTCAGCAAATGTCAGTTTCCTCAAAGAAAAGCAGTGTCTGGCTGCTCCCTGCTCCTGCCCCCAGCTCTCAGCACTTCCACCTCCAGCTCAGGTGGGTCTCAGAAGGTACCCATGCCTACCTCTGCTCAGCCACTCAGCACTTCTCCTTGCTTGCATTTGGTGGAGATCTGAGGACAAATCTCTGCCATCAGGGTGAAGTGTCACTGGTGTTGGTTTTGGGGATGTCAAGACAGCATAAAGATAGTGCATATGGTTGTGTACACCAGAGTTGCTGCAGGGGAAGGAGCTCAGCAACAGAAGCAAGCACATAGCTGGTGGCTGATGGGTGAAAGGAAAAACTACTGGGAAAAAAAAAAAAGAAGACTATTGAGAAAGAAAAGGGATCTGCAAAGTTTTCTTCTTGGTGCTGTGTTGACATAATGAGGCCGGACCTGAAGGCAGCTGGTCAGACCTTTGAACAAGGAGGCCAAGGCGGCTTTTTAATCTGCTGCCAGCCAGGATACTCCTGTTACCATGTCGTCACATCACTAACTCTCCTGGCTGGGCTGATGCACTAAGCAAAAAGGAGA